CGCACAAGCCACGATGTGTGAGCAGGGGCGTTTCTGGCGGATTGCTTTACGCAAATTGCGTATAACTTGCAGGTAAAACTCCTTATTGACCGTTCTACCCTGTGGCAAGAACTCATGATGCACCACGCCCCTGCAATCGAAGAAAACTGTCAGCAAAACTTTCACATTCGACCGAACTTGACGCGCTTTTTTCGGTCTTTGGTTTCCATGTCATAACCATAAACCCACGTTTCGTCACCAATTATGATCCTCAGGAGCAAATTTGGGTCGTCGCGGACAGATTCCAACATCTCTTTAACAATGTTCATTCGATGCTGTTTTTGGTCGCAATTGAGCAATTTTGGTACAAATTATTGATAAAAAATCGCATGGCACGAGCCAATCGATATGTTTAGGTTCTCAGCAACTTCTGTAACGGTGATTCGACGATTGGCCAATACCATTTTCTCCACTTCACTAATTTTTTCGTCTGTTGTTGAAGTGCTCGGGCGTCCGACACGCTCTCCGTCGTTCACTTCTTCTCGGCCTTCTGAGAACATTTTGTACCACCGTTAAACGTTGCTTCGGTCCAAGGTAGCTCCTCCGTATGCCACAGTCAACTTTCGGAATACATCCGCAAACTTAATTCATTTTTCACACAAAATTTGATTCATGTTCTTCAATTAATTTTTTGAATAGATAAAAATCGAAGACCATCCAAAACACGTGCAAGCAAAGCAGCTGTCAACAATTAAGTGAACATTCAAAATGGCCGAGCTTGTCGGCATAACTGACAGACATGAGTACCAACATGACGCCACAAAAAAATCGAAATTTGATTATACGTAACCCGCAAAAATTCAAAATTCGCGATACTTTTTGAACACACCTCGCATACGAGTATCTTCAGCTGAGGGACTAGTTCTTCTGTTACATGCATGCAAGGTAGTTTCGATCAGAAATTTTTAACCATCTGACATAAAAAGACTTTTTAGACTATTGCTTTATTTTTGTGCTACCAATTTAATTAAAAAAAACTTTCAACTTTCTAAAAATAAAAAAACTCAAAAAAAAAGTCGAAGGCTTTGCATTGTATTATCTGAAATCTAATGGAAATAAAATCATTTTCAGGTGGCCTAGCATTCTGTCAATTTTATATTGAGTGAAACTACCTTCCTTTATTTGTACCACTTCATGTACTATATATATACATATATATATATGCAGTATGTAAGGTATAAAAACACAAAATCTCAAAAGCTAAAAGTAAAGAAAAAAATTTGAATTGTGAAATGAATACTTTACTTCAACAATCCTTTTTTATTTCCATATGTAATATGTGGGTGATGTGTTGCACTCGCATTAGATGCGTGGTGAGCGCTGCGTACTACCGTATAGAGGGTCATGGGTTTAATTCCTAGCCAGATCAATATTCAAAATTATAAAAAATCCATTTTCCAATTGCGGCCGGCCCTCTCCAGGGAATGTCAATACTCCAAGTGCTCCTCACAAAAATCCATCTGCCAATTGGAGGTGGCTTAGAATAAACTGTAGGTCCCTCCGTTTGTTGTTAAAGTCAACAACACTCAAAACCACAAATCGCAGGAGGAGCTCGGCCAAAAATCGCAGCAGCAGTTCTAAAGATTCAATATTAAAATAAGGTGTATATTTATATGCAAATGGGTATATGTGATTATATACAAACACATATATATTATACGAGTATATGCAGTATCGCAAAATACACTTCTTATTCTTCTTCGTCGATCGTTGCAATCGCTCGTCTGTTGCTGTCTATTTTACAACTCTCAATTGTGGATATGATTGTTGCTGCGATGCAATTAAATGAAGTTGGAATTTTCCATTTGACTGCACTTTTATATACATATATATTTACACTAAGAAACAGTCTGCCTAGTCTGTTAGTGCCACATGCGCGATGGAATAAGCACCGAGTTTTGAAGAGGGAAACAAAACGTATGAGCAGACAAACTAAAAAGAAAGAGGTCGATATGCGTGAATGTGACGAGCTTGAGAAGACGGCCCGTTTGAGAAGAAATTGCGGAACTGAGGAGGCATCAGATTCTTTCCAGAATATGGTCGGATGAAAACATGCCCGCTGATTGGAATTTAAGTGTGCTCTGCCCAATCCCTAAAGAAAAGGACCCCACAGTCTGCGCCAATTACCGTGGGATAAGCTTCCTTAATATCGCCTTTAAGATCCTGTCGAGCGTATTGTGTGAAAGACTGAAACCCACCGTCAACAAACTGATTGAACCTTATCATTGTGGCTTCAGACCGGGTAAGTCAGCCATTGGCCAGATATTCACCATGCGACAAATCTTGGAAAAGACCAGTGAAAAGACGAACGACACCCCCCACCTCTTCGTCAATTTTAAAGCCGCCTTCAACAGCACGAAAAGAAGTTGTTTCTAGGTCGATATGTCTGAATTTGGGTTTCCCGCAAAACTCATACGGCTGTGTAAACTGACGTTAAGCAACACCATAAGTTTCGTCAGGATCGGAAAGGATCGCCCAGAGACAGTGCTACTTCAGACTGATTCCTCTCTAGAGCAATAAAGAGCAATCTAGAGCAAAAAGCGTTGAGAGTTTTTTGAAAGAGAGGTATGGTTCTTTGCGCATTGGCAACGTCGAATACCACATGGAACAGTACCACTTGCTGGAGGTCGTGGAAAAGGAAGATCTCCACTGAGTTTGCAGAACCCGGTAGAAGGTTAGGATTATTCCTGGGATTTCCGATTGGCATCATACAGCAAAAAGCAAGAATGAATGGCGCTCTGCTGTCAACTTTGCTATAATCGCATAAGCGGTGTCTACGCTAGTAAAGAAGAAGATAATGACCTAGGAAATGTCAATTGCTCTGCTTTCAAAAGTTTTTTAAATTACGTTTTTACGCTTCATAAAATAAAAATGTGAACAAAAAGAATCTCAATTTTCCCACTCAAACTTAATAATTAATATATAATTGGCGCTTTGTAACCGCTGAAGCGATTTTCCGTCAAGATCCTCTTCCAATTTGCGGTTTTTGCGTCTTGATGTTGTTTCAGAAAATGTAGGGACCTACAATTTATACTAAGCCACCTCCGAACGGCTGATGGTTTTATATAGGAGCTTTTATTTCATGTCAGAAATACGCTCGGAGGGGTTGACATTCGCTGCCGAGGGGCGAGCGCAATTAGATAATTTAATTTAATTTTTTAATTAAATTAATTTTCCATAACTTTTGGATATTGGTGGCACCAGGATAAGAACCCCAGCCTGCCGAATGTCAGTGTACAATGCTAACCACTCGGATAATGCAGCCGCCACCGAACATAAGTTACAATAAATTAAATCCGATAGTATTTCAGAACATGATTATGTCATTCCGATCGTATTTGGTTCTGATATCGATCACAATCGGATTTTGGAACATATTCTATATTCTACCAACGGGGATTTTTTTTGCTATATGTATCCTACGAATACACGTCATGACTTAGTCCGAAGTATGTAAATACCAAAAGGAAAATATATAGGTTTATACCGATCGGGTTGAGTTGATGAAGTCATGTCCCTTATGTCCCCCCCCCAAGTGAACTAATATTTAATTCTCCTTTACGTAATTCCCTAAATAAATTCTGAAGCAATGCAATGTTTTGAAATTTTCTATATCTCTGAGAGGAATTCTGTTGATCCACTCTTTCTATGCCCACTGAAAAGAATTTTAGGCGCTATAGGCATTAATCATACTCTGTTTTCTTGTTTCTCCGAAGCATGGTTTGTTTTCTTTAAGACGATCCACTGAAATCTGTAGAAAATTTCCACCGCATTACCGAAACTCCATTAAAATCATACCTCAATCGACTATTTTCAAGAGAGACCAACTCATTGATGGAAAGTATAAACAAACTCAGACCAATTGCGTTACAAAACTATGTAGAGCTTCCGGCATATTCGTTGACAACGCGGCGCATGCTCACTGACATCGCCCAACGCTTCAATTAGTAATTAAAGTCAAGTGATTTTATTCAGCTGTCTTAATGGATCTTGCACTACAAACAACACCACAATCAAACACTCGAGCAGCAAATGTGCGAAGCAGAGCATACAGTTGCAGCTAGGGCCGCGGCTGTCTGAGCAAAGTCAATAAATGTGCATGTACATATGTATGTATGTATGAACAGCCCTCCGAACGATGAATCGCCTCTTTGGAATTTGTGGTGAGTTAAGGCATTTCAGCCTTTGTTTTACACATCATGCACAATTATGCATAATAAATATGTCTATTTCTCATATCTCTGCTACACTTTGGTCTCTTTCCTTATAATTTATTTTAAACTTTTTTTAGCGCTCATTTTTCATATATCATTTCTCGTTCGCTACTCACTAATTCATACGATTGTAGCGTTTTTTGTTTTTTTTTTTTCAATTTTTAATTTATTTTATTTTTTTTTTTACGGAATACACAGCGTGTGGGGTGTGCGCTCATACTCACGCGATGCGTGCAGTGGCGAGTCTGGCGAGCGCTCGGACATAGACGAGTGTGGCTCGCTAAAGTTATTGAAGTGCTTGCTTGTCTGCTTGCTTGTCTGCTTGCTTGAAGCCAGTTTAGCGGTCCGCTGTCGGTTATCGACTGTTGGCTGATGGCTGTTTGCTGTTGGCGAATGTTGATGGGGCCCAGTCAAGTGGCGTGCTTATGAGGAGTGCGGTGTGTTGCAAAAGCTATCAGCCGGCTCTGTCACTAGCACTGCTGGTGAGCTGTCGAATTGAATACAAGTCGGTTACAAAATTATTCGCAAGCATTGCTCTCGACAGTCTTCGCGCAAACTTCTAAGAAAACAGTAGAGTGTTGTATTACTGCGGCTGTAGCTGTGGAGCGTTTGAAAATTCAAATTTAAAACAAATTTATAACAAAACAAAACGTAAATGAGACGCGTTGCGCTGCGCTGGTCAGCCATAACATAACCGAGTGTGCAACAACAATAAAACAACAACGAAAAAAGTTAAGAAAAAAAATTAATTTTATATTTATGTATTTAGACACAAATAAATAAACAAAATAACTATCTAATAATGCTCAGCAAAGAATAAATTAAAAAAAAAAAAAGATTTGAAAGAAAGAGATTTTGGAAAGAAAAGATTAAGAAAAAACAGCTTGGAAGAGGCGCAAAGAGAAGACCTCACAATTTGAAAGTTTCGAGAAAGACAACAGCCGCCAACGGCCATTCTTCATATGGTGAGCTATGATTTTTTATAACGAATTTTTTTTCCAGCTTTGTAGCTTTGTATTATTATAAGATAACTATAATTTATTTTACGCTTCTTCTTCTTCTTCTTCTTCTTCTTCTGAACACCGATCGCTTGGATAATCATCTAAAATTGTTATAATTTTATTTCGTGTTTATTGTTGTTATTTTCGATATGCGAAAGTAACGTACAAAATAATTGACTCGTTGATGGTCTGTCTCATATGCACACACTCGCACGCACACATACACGTATGTGGATTTACGTCTACTTGTAGTTCACACTTTCGAAAGTTGTCTCGTAATGTCATCACACCTCCTCAAACACCTTCAAAAGCCGGCTGCTTAGTTGGAGGACACGTAACTGTTTGCAATAAACAAGCGCAAGTATAAACATACAAACACATACATACATAAGTATTTATACGTGGGTAGACTTCGAAGGAGGCTTTTATTTCAATTTGTTTTTTGTTTTTTTTTTTTTGTTTTTTTTTTTGCTATAAATTTTATTCTTTCACTATTGTCGCCTCCACGCCAAAGTCACAACAATTGTGGTTGAAAGAAAAAACCGCGAAGCTATCAGTATTAGGGAAATAAAATAGGCGCAAACACACGCACATTCATAACATTTGTAAACACACAAGCACATCCACTCTCACCGAGGGAATCCCAGTAAATGCGGTCACGTCCTGTGTGTACTACCGGTAAACGTGTAATGTGCACATTTGCATTTACATAAATACGATAACAATGCGCGCCTTGTTAAGTCAACAAACTCAACTGGGTACTTATGAAACCGCACCTAAGTTCATGCTACAACTATTGTAACAAATACAAAAGTAAAGTGATAGCTGTGGGAACCTTTCTCTGCATTAAAGGTGGCGCCGAGGTCTTGGCATGTTTCCACAAATTAATTTAAAGCAAAATCCAAAAGTTTGACCATTGAACGGCATACTCAGACCACACCTTGCAGGACACGTGAGTGGAATTGTTTTAAACGTAATCTAGATATGACAATAGAAACCCTGCCGGGAGAAATGGCATTAGCAAAGCAAAAACTCTGGTATGACGTCAACATTGACTAAAGCGCATCGAGGCAATGAAATCACGCAACAGGGCGCGGCAGGATTATGACGAAAATTTATTTAACGCTTTATAGCCGCTAAAACGATTTGCGGCCGAGAGGAGCTCCTCTTATTTGTTATACTAACGGCTGATGAACTTTATGAAAAGGTTTTCTTTCTCGACAGAATTACAATCGCCGGACGCAGACTCCGCGATTATTGCCGAGGTAACAACATTGCAATGTTGTTGCGCCATTCAATTATTCTTTTTGCTGTTTGGCGCGAATTGGAAATTCCAAGTACAGCCAGCCATAAATCAAACTTTTCTCTCGAAAACTCTTAACGCTGACTCATCTGATGTTGCCATCGACCATGCCTACGCACCACATAGCAGAACGGGAATGATGGGTGATTTGTAGAGTTTGGTATTCGATCGTCGAGAGAGGAATGTACTTTTCAATTGCCTAATCAGTCCAAAGTAGCACCTGTTGGCAAGAGTGATTCTGCATTGGATTTCAAGGCTGACATTATTTTTGTGTTGAAGCTGGCCTCTAAGTAGACGAAATAATCTGCGACCTCGATGTTATGATTGTCAACAGAGACATGGCAGCCGAGTCGCGAGTGCGATGACTATTTGTTTGATGACAGGAGAGATTTCGCCTTGCCCTCGTTCACTACCAGACCTAAACGCTTCGCCTCCTTATCTAGTCAGGAGAAAGGGAGAAGCGCTAGTAATGAGAAAAATTAACTTCCTTTTGGTTGAATTAATTTTCTATGACTTCTGGGTGTAAGTCGCACGGGGATTTGAACCCGATCTTTCCCAATGGCAGTACGCCATTCGACTACCGCGGCCGCCAATTAGCGTTATTTACATGCAACAAAATAATTAGGCAACTTTATATTATTAGCGAAAAGAGCTCAATATTATGGGCTGATTTTGGAAGTATATTTTGGAGCCTTCCTGGATAGCAAATTTTTTAGGAATGACTCTTGTTAGGCAGAGATCAGTTTTGCCGTAGGGCCTTCCGTAAGCAATTGGCTTAAGTTTCCTCACGGGGGCTTGGTGGTCTGGATTGTGTTCCCAGCAAATGCCTAATGTCAAAGTTGAGGACTTAAAGAGCAGGAAGAAAATTCAAAAAGAAACAGGGATTCCCTCAGTTCATAATTACAATCCCAGGAAGCACGATGCCCCCAGTAAATGAACTTTGAATGAAAATAAATTTTCTACAGGGAGTTTAGTTGAAGCAGTGTGAGATTTTTGGGGTTTATAATGATACTCTAATAGAGATTTAAAGATTGCGGAAGTGCAATCAAAATATTAAATAATAAACATTTCATATTCACGTTTTTTTGATCACCTTTGCTGTAACTTTGCGAGAAATTATAATTTTTTTTAATTTCTCTATTGAATTGTGCTTTTGGGAGCTAAGAATCGATATTCAACTGCGTCGCTTGAGTTTGGTTATTATACACATACAGAGTTTGACTCGTTGCATCCGAGAAATATGGACAGAAGAGGAGAACATTTGTTTCTATTGCGAATCGAAAGCTCTAATTCTAATGGTTTATTCACCTTCATTGCCTCTTCTTCTTAAGGCGACAGTTTTCAGGTAGAAACATATAGCTTAGGCTGCGCTTAGGGGGTTAAAGATAGTCGGTGGACATGAAAAAAATCATAACTTCGAACCCTGGCCAGGCCAAGGAAAGGATTTCTTTAACTTAATTTGAGTTTAATCATTGCAAATAAATTTTGGAACTTGATTACATGCAAGTAGAAAGGGTCTTCCACCTCACGGAGCAAACTTTTATCCAATGATGAAGGATAAAAGCCAGTTTTGATTACTATTTTTTTATTAAAATATTCAGTAAGCTCGACCTTCGACCGTTGGAGTAGTTAACGACAAGAGCTGGTCAAGCGATTGCGAATATCGTTGAAATATGTGTAACGAATAGTCTTTAAATCGATTCAAAAATCGTTAAAATATGAGAGTGAATTTCAAAGGCACCAAATGGTTTCTAAGCTAAAAAAAATTTACAAAACTCATGCCGAGAGTCTTAGTTTTCAGTAGTTGCTCTTGCGATGGTTTTAAATATCTAATGTAATACTGGACTTCGTCTGCATGGAATTTCAAAATGATTTAAGAGAGATTTTTAATGGGATTGTTGCATTATTTATTGTACAAGTATCAAGTAAACACAATTTTCTCTGATAGATCGGCCCAGATTCGCTTCACAAAAAGAAAGATAAACATATACAAAGAGCTATCTATGCTCCAAGCTTCGAGAAAATCGAATCAAAACGTCAATATATTCGACTAGATCCATTGCATGTCTGCTTCTCAGAAAACACCCCTCAAATTTGAGGTCTTTACGATCAGTGGCTTAACCTATAGATTCAACAGGATAAAGCCTGAGTCTTCTAAGAGCTATAGGAAACTTTTTCAAAAACAAAAACTAATAATATTCAGAAAAATGCATGAAATCTTTATTTGAATCGATGGTACGGTCTATATAATTTAGTTTTTGAAGATTATTTCATGCAAATGTTGGCCGTGACTGCGCTTCAAATGGTCCATCCACTGAGTCCAATTTCGGCATACTCTTTCCAACAGTTCGGCTGGTTTCCCACTAATAAATGCTTCAATGTTGTCCTCCAATGCGTCAATTGGAGCGGACTTTCTGTTTAGATATTAGATTTATCATAGCCCCACAAAAAATAGTCTAAAGACGTTAAATCGCACGATCTAGGCGGCCAATTAACCGGTCCCGAACGTGAAATAAAATCTTCACCGAACTCGCCTCTCAATAATTCCATTGTTGCGCGTGCTTTGTGGCATGTGGCACCGTTTTGTTAAAACCACATGTCATGCAAGTCAAGCTCTTGCTTTTTGGGCAAAATAAAGTGTGATATCATTTTACGGTAGCGCTTTCCATAACAGTTACGTTGCGATGCGCATCATCTTTGAAAAAGTACGCTCCAATGATGCCACCAGCCCATAAACCGCACTAGGCCGTGACCTTTTCTGGATGCATTGGTAGCTCTTGCCAAGCTTCTGGCTGATCTTCACTCCAAAATCGACAATTCTGCTTATTTAGGCAGAAGACAAAAATGAGCTTCGAAGCACCCGATGAACTTTCTGAACAGAGCACGCATTGTGATAGTAAAATTCAATAACTTGCAAGCTTTATTGGTTAAATTATAGACCAAACTGACGATGTTTGACAGTGATGCAAAACACGAAACATGTGTCAGCTATTTAACCCAGTGTTGCCAAAAAGTTGATAGCTAAAAAATACCCCTTTACATAGATAATTACACTCTATTATCTTAGAACATACATTTATACTTCTTTGACGGTACTCTTTAATTGTTCCAGTAATATTTGGACAGAAGTTTGGGCAGCAAACTTTCATGTTGGAAAAATGTCAAGACACTTTGTATGTCTAACTTTGGATACAAAAAAATAATTACTACATTTTTATCAGCCCTACAAAAGCGGCTAGAAATATTTTAATACTTTTTTTTACGATTCAATAAGTTGGTTTTTCTACGACATTTTCTGACGTGTTTATTATTCGAAAAATATATGTAAATAAATCCGCAAAATCGAAAAAAAAATCTTCAAAAATCTTTTGTGAATATTTATATGTACATATGTTCATACACATATAGTAGATGTAAGTATGCATGTATTTAATTGGCGGGTATGTAAAAACCATATTTGCGAAGAAAAAAATGTGTAATACCAACAAACAAGCCAAGTCAGCAGTAGCAATGAAAAATGATTAACGCGCGATTTTTTGTTTTTACTTTATTTTTACTTACTTTTTTTTGTATTTTTCCTTTAACTCTTTTTGGGTAAATGGCCGTGAATTACAAAATTTAATTATTTTATTTATCGTGCTTATACGTAGTGCACAGTTATAGTCATAAACATCATTTCCTATGCGTGGGCTATTTGTATATACATACATAGTATTTATATATGTGTGTATGAGAGTATTTCAGCGTTGAAACAACAACAATTCGTACACTACCAATTTAACTATTTTGTATACCTTTCATGTACACGAAATGCTATTTTAACTTTGATCAGAATTATGTAGGTACCAGAAGCAGAAGCGCCAGACTCAACTAACTTTAAACCGATATACAGAATGATGAGTTGATTTAACCAAGTCCGTCTGCCCGTCTGTCCGTCTGCTTGTACGCAAAACTGAGAGACTAGAGTTTTTTTTGTATGTCCTGGTACAGAGATGAATTAACACATGTAAACGGTAAATTGTCGGAACTAACCAGATCGGACTACTAAAGCATACTCATACACCCGTTATTTCAGATGCGAGATTTTGGGTCATAAATCCGTCAAAATGGCACCGAAGCTTCGTACCTATAAAAAGAAAACGTTGACAACGAAAACCATTGAAATCGACAACGAAAATCATCGAAATCGAATGACCATATCACATAGCCCTCTTATGAGGTTTTGGGTGAACAATTTGTTTCAAAGTGAATATCATCGATTTCGGAAAATTTCAACATATAGCCCCTCCAACTAATTTTTATTTAATCCAAAAATGAAATACAAAGTTTTCAAATAAAAGGTGTTATTTTCATATTCAAGGAAAAATTGCATTTTTTGAGATAATTGAACGGATGTTTACTTCAATGTAAAGAGGAAGATATGTCACTAATAATGGAAAACAATATCAGTCGAATGGTAGCCACGGCTACTCTTTCCTATGAAATTTTCCATCAAAAAAACGCAAAATATCTGTTGTATGCCCTCAATAGCTTTAGGAATTCCATCTTTGGAGTGTTGAACCGAGGTTGGCCTGTCAGCGTAGACCTTATATATAGGAAGAAGTCGCAAAGTGTTAAATTACAAGATCTCTGTGGTCAATTGCGAGCAACTCTTTCCAGAGATAACACGGTCTGCAATCTTTTCGCCTAAAATATCGATTGTAGCGCCACCTTGTTGAAAGCAAACGATTTTGCTCCAGCATCATTTTGAAAAAGTAAGGTCCAATAACCCCACCACAATATAAACCACACCAAACAGCTAAACGCTGAGGATGGAGAGGCTTCGGATTAATAAATCTTGGCTTTTCCGAGCCCCACAAGCGACAGATTTGCTTATTGACGTAGCTATCGAGGTGGAAAAGCCACATCATTCAAGATAATTTTTCGATGAAATTCTGGATAATTTTCATGCATTTCAGGGACCCAATCAGCAAAGACACGAAGTGCTGACTGAACTTTTTAAGCCTCAAGATCCAAGCCTTTATGCAAAATACGGTGTAATGACTTTTGTCCCAAAGAGTTACGAAGAATGGACAAACCTGAAACTTCTTTAACACTTTGGGCTACAGCAGCAATATTCTCGGTTGTTCTTGAGTGACGTGCGCATATTTCAATCCTGTTTTATTCTTCACATCAGTAACTCGTCCCAACAACCAGTTTCTCTACCTGTTTTTGTTTTGCGGTTCGGCAATGTGCTTCACAGTGATCGAAAAATGTTTTGGTTTTACGAACGCTCTCTGCCAGTTTTTCAACATTTTCATAGTGAATTTTAGTAGTTTCAATGCGTTGTTGAAGCGTGTATCGTTCCGTTTTTATTGCTGGCTTAGTTTTTACGTGTCAAATGTCAAAAAATTACAGTTCCAAAAATGACATCTATCGAAAAACCCTTTACCATTTGATATGATCATGAAAGGTATAAATACTTCGGCGTGGCCGAATGCAACTCTTCTTTCTTGTTTTAATTACGCCAATGTCTTTGTAACTGCCTTAATCGTCGTTTTTTTATTTGTTTCCTGGCCCTTTTTTGGCTAAAACTAATTTTTGTCAATTGAATTTAATTAAATAATATTTTTTTCTTTTATTTTATTACAGAGTTTGAAAGGCAAAAGGAAACAAGTGAACGCAACTAAACCTTAAACGAATTTAATGAAAATTTTTTGAAATAAAAAAATTCGTTGATTAACTCGAAGAGCGCAGAAAGCATCTAATCCCGCATTAGCGTGCAATCTCCACGACAGGCAACCTAAAAGACTCTTGCGTTCGACTAAATTTATATTAAAGCGCGCTGACGCTCACTGAACACACGATTAACGCAGCTATAACAAGCCGCAAAGAAAAAAAAAAAGCTGTTATTACCAACGTGCAGCCGAAAAAAACACAAATTGCAAGACCAGAAAGTGTCAGCAACACCGCTTAGATTACAAATCTGCCGTGTGCATTTTACTTATTTTACTCAAACAACGCAGTGCCTTGAGGCGTACCACAGCAATTTAGCTAATACTAAGCGCTTGCCTCTGCCCCTGCTGCCCACCTAGCGTAGACAACGTGTGATTCATACGCCGACACGTCATCCGCGCGCCGCAAAGTACGTCGACTGCATGCGTTCGCCGTCTACAAATTATTATTATTGTGTTTAAATCACCAACACCGGCGACAGCCAAATCGTACAAAAGCTGTGGGTCTGTTACCAACGCTGCCAGCACACCGATCGAGGCGTCTTTGCAAAACCCACACGTTTCCTTGGTGCGACGTACGCGCAGCAGCAAGCGACAGTCAGTAAGCAGTAGCTAGCCGAAACGTTTAAAGCGCAGCTCAGCCACAAGCTTCAGTTGGGCTTGCCTTCCGCACACGCGCACACAGCTAACGTGAGACGCGAGGCGCGAGCGCGTCTAATAAGTCAAAAAGAAAAATAAAATAAAACTGAAAACAAGTATTAAATTGACAACAGCAACAAACAATAATAATAAATTAGCAACGCTACATTGTTTTGTTTCATCGTCTCCGTCGTCGCAGTCGTGTCTCTTTTTTACTTATTTTAAATTATCGTTTGGGTTGTCGAAGCAATTCATATTTGGCGATGGCGTCACAAGGTGTCACAGCAGCCAATTCAAGGCTGGCTCAGATGCAGGTGAGTGCTCGCTGTTCTTATTGTTGTTCATATTATGTGGCATAAGTTTGTTTAGTTGTAAATTTTTGCAAACATACTGACCTATTTGCATACGTGTATGTATGTTTACATGCACTTGTGAACTCTGAAAATTATGCAAAATTACTTTTGTTGTTATTAACGCATTTAAATGCGAGTCAAAAGTGGCACAGTCGTGAAAACGCTGACAAAGTGTGACCCAGAATATTTTAAGTGCCTTCGCTCTCAATACAGTGGGGTATACTGCATTGGCTCCTCTCATTCTAGGCAGAGGTGACCACATGTAGAGGAGTCTTCGGCGATGAAGGACAGTGTACTTTCCCGTAAATGACTTGAACTTAAAGGAAAGCTCGATTTACAAAGTTTCAGTGTTCCATCGCGGAGACGCTTTTCAAGCTGAGGTGACTAGAATGCTAAAATTAAGAAAGACGAGTTCTACACGAAGTTTCAGTACGAGAGAGCGTTTTTTTGTTCGCAGAAGGGAGAGGTGGAAATAAAAGACACCAATTAATTTTTATCTTCAATATATTTAACTGCAAGACGGATACATTTTTAATATATTCGAACTGATTTGTTTATACCTCAAAAAAATGTTTTCTTTTTATCATCAAAATACGCCGAAACTTCCTCATCGGTAATCAGTTTTTCATTCCTCAGCTCTCTTTTCACATTTGGAAACAGCTAATAAGGACTCGGAGCCAGGCTGCGGCTATAGCGTGGGTGATTCAATGCACACCTCATATAGGGCAGCCAACGTGGGCATTCCCTGCACCCAACCACTTCAGCGCCTGTTGTTTCTACTTTAGTCGGGAGTCTGATCGTGACTGCTGAGAGAGCAACACGTATTCTGAATCACATTGGACCACTTTACCTGTGCATCAGTCTATTAACTTGAAACTCATTACTTTTCTTTTATTTTATAAAGAGTCAAAAACTAAAAAAAAACAATTATTGCGAGTTCACAGCATAAAATGTGTGAGCTTAATGCTCAAAATAATAAACATTTAGATAATAATAATTCATATATAGCGGTGAATGAAACCAGGAAAAGAAAAAACCAAAGTGTAAATGATCATACGATGGCAAAAATCAAAAACAACTATTACGCGATTCTCGACAGTGAAACAGAGAATTGTGATGAAGATGTAATAAAGAAATTTGAGCGGCAAGTCCTACTCAATAACGTAAATAAGAATATTGAACAACAAAGAAATAAGAATGACAAGCCAACAACACCAGCATCTTTAAATAGAACAGATCCCACAAATAACACCTGTGAGAATAACAACGCAGAAAACAATAACAACAGTGCTAAAAACAAAAATACGAATATTCCTCCAATAAATGTGTACGAAATTCAATCTAAACAAATAATTGAATTGCTAAAAGACGGACTTAAAATAACAACGTTTAAAATTAAAGAATACAACCAAAATAAGCGTGCTATTCTATTGTCTAACTTAGACGACTATATAAGAGTGCGAGGCCACTTAGAAAAAGCTAAAGCAAAATTTTATTCATACACTCCAAAATGTCTCAAAACTAAAACCTTTCTAATGAAAGGCATAAATCCAAATATTGAACTACAACTCATATACGATGACCTTGCTGGCTATCAAAACGAAAAATTAAAAATTGTAAAAGTCAGCCCGTTTACAACAAAAAATTCTCTACAACGCAATATCGCCCTCCCTATGTTTATGGTTCAAATTAGCGCCGAAAGTAGTGTTCACGAACTAAAAGCGATCGATAATATACAATATCATAAAATCAAATGGGAATCTCTACGAAGACCGGAAATACCACAGTGTCGCAACTGCCAAAATTTCTTCCATAGTGCTGCAAACTGCCATCTTCCACCTAGGTGTGTCAAATGTAGTAATACACACAAGAGCGAAAATTGCCCACTATCCGAGGAGCCAACCATTGAAAAGGACAAGCTCTACTGCATTCTTTGCAAGAAACATGGACATCCAGCTTCGTATAAAGGTTGCGAACGTTATAAAGAATTGCAACAAAAAATTAGGACCAAAAAACAAAACTTAATCTTAAAAAATAAGCCTGAGAAATTAGTCAACCCTAATATTAGTTTTGCAAGCATCACAAGAGGTGCAAATAGATCAAATCATTTAGATATGCTAGGCATTCAACAATTCTCTTCTTTAGAACAGTTAAATAACATAGTTTTAACTTTAAGTAAACAATTAAACCTGCTCCAAAACCAAATAGACGCTCAAACAAAAAGATTAGATGTTATATGCAATCTGGTCGAATCAGCATGAACCAATCTGATTCTCAAACTATTAACATTCGTAACACATTGAATATAATTTCCCTCAATGTAAATTCACTTATTAATATTAACAGAAGATTAGACATGATTAAATTCCTCGATGATAATAACCCTGATTTAGTTTTATTAAATGAAACCAAACTGAGCTCTAAACATAAGCTAAAATTTCAAAATTACAATTTAATCAGAAGAGACAGAAATACAGGCAATGGAGGGGGCACTGCCATCCTCATTAAAGAAAATATTAAATTTAAGAAACATTATTGCAGGAAACTTGACTCACTTAAGCATCTTGAGACTTGCATCATCAAAGTAAAGTTGTTAGCAAACAAAATTCTATATATCATTGCAGCCTACTACCCATCGGGAAATAACAACTTTGAATTTAAAAGTGAGATAAACACCCTATTTGAGGAGTTGAAGCTACACGATTGTAATCACTATTACATTTTAGCAGGTGATCTTAATAGTAAACACTTAAACTGGGGTAACTCAGTTAACAATTCCAAAGGTAATAACTTGAATGCTTGGCTAACTACAAATTCTATCAAATACAGATGCAACCTTTTTACTTCAACAACTCCCTCATTCGAAAGATCACAATCATTTTTAGATATCTGTATTGCTGACCATAGAATTGAGATACATAAAAATAGTAATTCGATTAACTGTTTGAACTGCATTAACTACGACAGTGATCACCAAGCTATCCAAATAATAGCTACCTGCACTGGTGATAATAGCTTTGACTTATTCGGGGAAACCGCACCCTATAAACTGGATTACAAAAATACTAAGTGGAACGAATTTTCTAAAACAATAAATAGGCTTCACTTACAAGAAGAAGCAATACCGAATAATAGAAATCTTAACAATTCTGAAATAGACAAATATTTATCTAAAATTAATGAAATAATAAGCAAAGCAATAGACAAAAACGTCCCAAAAATTAAAAATGTTCCCACCACAAGACTACTTGCTAACTCTCCAATGATTAAACTTTTGATGAAAGAAAAAAGTAAAACACTCTCCATTATCAAAAAACACAACCGTCTTGAAATATATTCAACTGAAAACAGTCTTAGCCTAGCTAAAGCAAAATTAAAGCTTATAAAACAAATGATTAACGAAAATATAAAAATTCAACTAAACAAACAATTGGAAAGCAAACTTAAAGCCCTAGATAGCAAAAACCCTTGGAAATTCGCAATTGTTAAAAAAAATTTTCTTCATAATGAAAAAAACATTATTAGTCGAATATATGTGCCATCAGATCGTTTAAACACTATCTATAAAGCAGGTCTGGTTCCTAGTCAGTTCGAAATAGATTTACCAACGAACAACTATATCGTAGAAGAAAGAAAGAATATGGCAGATATAATAGGCTGTCATTTCGAAGCTATTCACTCAGCTAAACAAACTGATTGGAATAATCCAGTACATTATATGGTAGAACATTCTTTTACCCAGTTTTTAGCAATCAAAACCAGATATGAAGGAATTAAATCGACTATAACGACTTTTACTGATGTAAAGAAAGCAAATAATCTTACACATAACCAAACTGAAAATTACTTCGTCACGCCATATGGCTTGATAAACATCATTTCAAACCTTAAAAACAAACAGTCGTCAGGCTTAGATCAAATCCCCAACATTGTACTAAAAAATTTACCCATGTTGCTCATTCGAGATTATTGCACATTATTTAACAATTTACTTAACAATTCATACTTCCCAAACCAATGGAAAACAGCCAAACTCGTAGTCATTCCTAAAAAAGTTAAAGATAAAAACAATTTAAACAATCTTAGACCAATAAGTATGTTACCCAATATAAGCAAAATATTTGAGATAGTAATTAATATGAATATAAATAAATTTTTAGAAGAAAAGAAAATAATAAGCCATAACCAATTTGGCTTCAAATATAAGCACTCCACTATCCACGCAATTAATCTGCTGGTCTCAGATATAAATTGGAGTTGGAACAAAAAACAAGTTACAGGAGCATGCTTCATTGATTTAGAAAAAGCTTTTGATAAAGTTTGGATTAAAGGATTAATCGCAAAAATGTTATGTTACGGTTTCCACTTACACTTACTGGTTCTCATCGTGAATATGATTTCAAATAAAAAATATAGAGTCAATATTGGAGACGAATTCAGCAGCCGTGATTTTAATGTTATAAATGGCCTCCAACAGGGCACAGTAAATGCCCCAATATTATTTAATCTATTTCTTACAGATCTGTTAAATGAAACAAATAATATAATAGCATTTGCTGATGACATAGTCATCTATCATCCAGATGATAATATAACAGCCATAAACACAAGTCTGCAGCAAAAATTCGATACAGTGCAAAAGTTCGCAAAGAATTGGCATCTTAAAATAAATATAAGTAAATGTGAAAGCATTCTTTTTCGGCCTCCAATTTCCAAATGCTCCTTTAATATTAAGAAAAAATGGAGACAGTTTGGTATCAAAGCAAATGAATCAAATAATTTAATCACTGTAACTAACAAAGTTAAGTACCTTGGAATTACTTTAGACAAATTTTTATACTTCAACGATCACATAAATATTCAACTTTCGAAAGCTAACCGCGCATTCTTTGTATACAAAAAAATGTTCTGTTCAAAAAAAGTAAACAAAAGAGTTAAAATTATTATGTACCAATCACTAA